TAAACTTAAACAAATATAAATGTTAAAGGATACTGATATAATTTCATAACTAGAAATTACCATATTTGGACAAATTTTTGGTTGTGATTACGTAAAACTATTAAGATTAACGGAAACTTAACGGATATACATTAAGGGGTCAGTGAGTTAACGGAGAGAACCACCGACCTTCGGTAGGAAAACTGACAATCATAGGGGCGTTGATATCGATCGTATAACAATCAATGACTCCTAATTGTTGTATTTTCTCAAGGGGCGCGGCTTAAAAATCTAACAATCCAATCATAAGCAGCAGTAATTCATTTATATTACGGTATCCTATAATGCCACGTAAACACACAAACATGTACATAGTTACTTCGGTCGATATATTTTTCACGATTGATCAAATAAGATCACTTCTTATTATCTGCTTTGCTGGGAAAAAAATAGCAAAATGTCCATCGAATACTAACGTGTTTAGGAAAGTGGGATTAGAACGACAAATTGACAGCAAGAATTACTTATTTCGGTAATTTTTTTAATGGGTCGAACTATTTAAAGAAAATGATCACCCTGTAATGCATATGTTTAACTTACATACATTTTGTAGAAAATCCCGAGGCTTTATCAATGATTGGATTGAACTCGGTTTGATATAAATATATCATTTTATATGTACTCCCGAGTTTGTTTATTGAGTTGGCATATTTCATCTAAACCCAGATATATTTCTAAGAAAGTCGAGCAAATGGCACAATAAATGCATGGTTTGGTTCGTTCGACTTGCTATATAAAAATAGTTTCGTTGAATAACTAATACATTACTTTTATATAATAAATAAAGCACATATGTATAAAGAAGTCATAAAATAAACAATCCAAATTTGAAATTTCGTTGGTAAGCTATATGCGGAGACTGTACTTTAGAATGCGCTAGCTAGCGTCAAGAACCATTTAATTTTCGGGAGGTATTAGTTCCGACAGATTTCGGGAGGTATTAGTTCCGACAGATTTCGGGAGGTATTAGTTCCGACAGATTTGTTTTTGTGCTTGTAATGAAAACCAGAATATTTGAAGACCATGCTTCCGGCCAGAAGAATATTTCCTTTAAAATTGCCAATAATTTTTGTCGAGCTTTCGACTTTTGTCGAAAAAGCGAGACAAAGCGATCTTACATTCCGTCGGCGTCGTCGTCGTCGTCGTCGTCGGCGGCGGCGTCCACAAATATTCACTCAGTGGTTAAAGTTTTTGAATTTTTAATAACTTTCTTAAACTATCCTGGATTTCTACCAAACTTGGACAGAAGCTTGTTTATGATCATAAGTAAATTTTGTAAAAAAAAAACCCCATTTTTCCGTATTTTACTTATAAATGGACTTAGTTTTTCTGCCAGGAAACATTACATTCACTCTGTGGTTAAAGTTTTTAAAATTTTCTTGGCTCCAATTGAATGGAATGATTTAATATTTGGTCTTCAGCTTGATGATATTGAGTTGTAGCTTGTAAGCAATGTTTGCATCTGCCATGTAGCCACTTCCTGTTTGCCGATAGGAAACATTACATTCACTCTGTGGTTAAAGTTTTTAAAATTTTAATAACTTTCTTAAACAATCCTGGATTTGTACCAAACATGGACAGAAGTTTGTTTATGATCAAAAGCTAGTATCTAGAAGGAAATTTTTATTAAAATTTTGTACTTGTTTATCCATATTTTACTTATAAATGGACTTAGTTTTTCTTCCAGTTAACATTACATACAGTCTGCAGTTAGATTTTTTTAAAACATTTATTAGATTCATAAACTATCCTGGATTTTTACCAAACTTGGACAGAAGCTTCTTACAATAAAAAAAATGTATCGAGAGGAATATTTTTATTAAAGTTTTTCCTCGTCTCATTTTTGTTGAGCCTGCGATTAACAGCAAAAGTAGGCGAGACACTGGGTTCCGTGGAACCCTTACGAATTTTTTGTTCAATCGTCGCATAATATGTAATTTTCTCTATGTTGTCAACAATTATTTTAATTTGGTAGCCTATTGTTTATGTAGTCAATGTTTAGGTAGAAAACAAAATCATGTACGGTTAAAGTAATCAGTTTTGAAAAGAGTTAAGCCATAAAAAAATTGTGCACGAGATCTCAGATTAAATATTTAATTAAAGTCTCACCACTTGTATAACATAAAAATCGCATACATATATAAAACATACTGCATATTAAAACTAACAGCAAAATAGCATAAGCTTAAATACTAAAAAATAAACAAGCGCCATTCTAATAATAATTATGAGAGATTAGTAAAAGAATCATATACATAGTATACAATATTTTACACCATTTTAAAAACTATATAGATATATTTAAGATTCAAATTACATCATCAGCTATTTATACAAAAAGAAATGTGTTTTACATAAAATATTAAAACAAGTTTCAGCAACTATCTGACAAAGTTCTTCATTTCTGAATAAAAATAAAAACTTTTCGTCATTAGACAAGTTATAAAATTGATCATTATGTTTTACTGCTTCACTACACAATACATTTCGATGGTCATTTAAAGGACATAAAGTACAAAAATGTGTTGCATCTTATATTTCATTTTTACACACAATATCTTTCATTTACTGGTTTATTCTCATATCGTCCCGTTTCTATTCAATCTCGAGATTTATCATCTAGGTTTGTCCAGTGACCAGTGTTGCACATCGATCGCTTGTGTACATGTAGTTTGAAGTTTAATTTCGTAAAGACACATTTACCAATGAAAATTCTGAAGTTAAGTTTTGTAAAGTTATCAAATAAAATTATAGACATCTGGATGTGCAAAGATATGTATATTATACCAAAAGTAGAAGATTTTAGCACATAAATAATTTATGTTCGTTTGAACAGAAGGACATAATATTGAATATACAGTGTGAGTACTTTATACAACCGAAAGTTTTAAAATCATAAAATGTAGTTTTGGTATGATGTAGTTTAGCAGAAATTAGCCTGTTCGTAAAACATTTGGATTCTCAATACAGAAACTAGAGTTCACTCGTCAAGGGGTTGCTGCAAGAAGGATTTATGAATAAATTATTCTATTTTACCAGGCACAGTGTCATCGTTAGCTTCCGGAATGTGAAAGCATATTTTATTTATTTAATTTTTCCCCATTTCACAATGTTTCAGTCAACTAGATGATTGCTTGATTGATTGATTTTTGTTTAACGCTTACTTTACCATCAGCTTTATCGTGGCGATAACTTGTTATACATTTTAATATTTCCGGAATAATATACTAGGGATTATAGAAATTAGAATATCAGTATTCCTGTTGAATAAAGATGTAGATTATAATAAATAAACATAAAATAAAATATTTTAAAACAAAATATCAATATTTACATTATAGAAAAGTTTAATAAAACTTTAAGGATCATTCAAATTAGATTATGGAACAGATTTATTTCTTTTAAAACATTTTTAACATATTGATTGATTGATTGATTGTTTGTTGTCTAATGTTAACTTTAGCACTATTTCATATATATCGTGGCGAAAACGTTTTACACATTTTAAATTTGCAGAATTATCCATTGGGGATTAAACATATTAGAAAGTCAGTGTTTATATTGAAAAATGTTGTAGATCAAAAATAAATATACATAAAATAAAATTTTTTTAAACAGAGAACTATATATTTACATTATTAAAAAGGAATAAAAAGATTGTTAAAATTATATTTGATGGAACAGATTTATTTCTTTTAAAAACTTTAAAATGTCGAATGCTGACATATTCTTAAATATATTATTTGCTGTGGGAACTGCAGTGACGGATCCAGGATACGTACGCCCCTCATTTGATTGCCTAAACAAAATTGAATCCCATTTTTCTGACGATTTATATGATTTTTTAGGACAAAATTGTCCTTTTTATTCGCCTCACTACGATAAGCCATATCTATTATGTTTTCTTGAATTACGCCCCCATTTTCAAAATCTTGGATCCGCCCCTGGACAGTGTAATACGTTGCCCTTATGTCAACTGTATCTACAGTCTATTAAAATGTGATCCCCGTGCTTCGACATTGACACTGAATGCATTCAGGAGGAGGTTCGCCTTCCAAAATGTCGGAATACGTGTTCCTTAAGTGGTCAAAGCGACATCTGGTAACATAATTGGAAATGATGAGTTCCAAATAAATCACAAAGAACATTCAAAGAGAAATCAAGAAGTAGAGATGGATCCGAAATAGTCAGAACAATAGCTGAATAAATAAGAACCATTTCCAGGATGTATAAAAACATTATCTGTGAAGTCATTAAAGATGCACCAGCCTTCCTGCGACATCATGTTTTCAATTCACTTTTATCGTTCAATGTTTTTCGACCCCACATTGCCTATTAAAATCACCCATAAGAATAAAGAGAGTAGGTTACTGTTCTATTGAAATCTGAACTTGGCTAAGAGGTGTTTTCGGATATATATACATTAAGTTATTCTCTCAGAGACAGCATGTAGATCAGTGGTTAGATCAATAGGAAATTATTTCCTTGACAAAGATTATGGGGCTGCTACTAACCCTTTCATCTGAACATTTGAAAAAGACCAGCTTCCCCTACGTTTGCCTTTACCAGCCCAAATTTTTGGCGCAGGAAGGAACGTATTGGATTAGGAACATATCTGTTCACCTTAACGTTGTAGAGGCCAATGTGAATGGACAGTGGTACAGTTGGTCTATTGAAAGTCAAAAGGTAAGTATTTTTCTTGATAATTCTTTTTAGAGATAAATCTTTTGTCAAATGAAATACACTGAGGTTCAATTCTTTTCTGAATTTCTGAATCGATCAAATCAGACAGGTCTTTGTCTTTAAAACGAATAATTCTCTGACTTGAGTTCAAGGTCTTGTGAGGTGTTGCAGTAATTTTGATGTTAAATGCTTTGTTATTTTTGTTAAATAATTATGTTTGAAAGTGGAAGCTGTAAATATTTGTATATCCTTTTTGAGCGTTTTAAAATAAGAAGACACAAATTAAAAGGTTTATTCACTTTTGCAACCAAAGGTTTAAAGGAGCCTGTAATCGCTCACATGTGATACCATTGACTTTAATGAAAATTAAAGCATTTGTCATATGAAAAAAATATATTTAAAGTAAAACAGGGGTCATTTTGGATGGAGAGCTGGCCCATTGAACACCTGGGCTCTACAATAACTTTTTTTTCAATTCATTAATTCGGACAAGTTGTTTCTATAAGTGTGTCCTATTTTTAAATTAATGTGGCTGTAATAGGATATAGGTGCACTTTACCATTTGACATATTGATTTACTAACCTTTCCTTAACTTAATTTTGTCTTCTAAGACAAACGAACGTCTTCACAAATTTTCTTCTCATCTATTATTAGTAATAGTTGTATGTATTATAGAAGTAAAATAAAACCTGACGACAACAACAACCTAAAACAAAAAGGGATGTGTGTTTGCGGTGACTAGCCTCTATGCATATTCTTAAGTAGCTTTCAATACGAATATCATATTTCACTCAATACCAAATGTAGCGATAGCAACAACAGTTATTAGAAAGAGATTAGAATAAATATAGTTTCCACCATCTGTTTCGTCTTTTTCACCTCCGTTATCTCTTTCATATTCTCTTGCAAGCAGAGAAACGGATAAGACAGGGTGTTCAAAACCATGTTTCGATTCTAAAGTTCCATCCTTGTATGTCCAAAAGTCTCCAGAAGAAAGTTTCAGTTGACCATTATCTGCCAACAGAACTTCAGGAAATACATACCGAGTTTCAAACGTCCCCTTTAATTTTATGCTCGTGAAATTGGTTAGTGATTCTTTTACAAGTCGATCTCCACAACTGGTTCTATTTGCTGTTTTACATTTTAGAAGTGTGCACACTTTCAAGTAGTATGGTTTTACTCTCGACTTGTGAAGACCATCGAATGCACCAAACGCAAAATATTCTGAGGCATTACCTAATCGTTCATAATACAGAGAGCAGCACAATTTCCCATCACACACACTCACATTTCCCTTGTTGTTCTGTATAGGAACAAACATGAATGGATCGTGTCTAACTTCGGATTGGAACTGGCCGTTACCAACCGTTGCTTCAATTTTAATATCTGGTCTTTGAAATTTGGCCCTAAATGCGTTTGTCTTTACGATAGGTAAATCAGCAGTTAAAAGCTTTCCTCCGTGGGATTCGCTGTATTGAAAAGCTTTGTAGCCTGTCGGGGAATATATTCCACTTCCATGAAATCTGTACTTTGGCAGATTTATATTTGCTGCTAGAAGATTAACCCTCGCGCTGGCCGCAAACGCAGAATGAAACTGAATGGCAGCAAGTAAAGGGAGAGCATCCATCCAAGCTGTAGGAAAAACAACATTTCCAACACCATCTATCATCAATACATCGATTGCAGGCGTTTTGAAAAGAATATCAAAACAAGTAAAAACGGCAAATTTACCAAATGGTGTTTCAAATGTCACCAGTTTTGTTACCGGCGGTACGTCAAAGTGTTTCTCCTTGTATAAGTGTTTCTTGTGGTATTTTGCAATAAGATCACCCTTAGGGTTATATACAACGTTGGTATTGAATTGATAATGTCCGTCTTTAGGACAGTTCGGATCATTTCCAATTACACATGGCTGACGATCACCGAAATTAACCACAAGATACATTGACGTGTGTTTTGCAAGACAACTTAGATGTCTTTGTATTTCTGTGTTTTCATACTTGTCTGGAAATTGACATGCATTCCAGTTTTCTTCCGGATCAGGAATATATTCAAGATATGGTTTTATATCTTCTCGGGATATTCTCATACCCACATATATTCCATATTCAGGAAATACCATGATATCCACGTTCTGAAAGTATAGATACAAAAATTATAACGTAATGTAATGTTGGTTGACCGTTATTGCTCTTCCAACTTTATACTTGTTTGGCTTTCTAACTATTTTGATCCGAGCGTCACTGATGAGTCTTATGTAGACGAAACGCGCGTCTGGCGTATCAAATTATAAGCCTGGTACCTTTGATAACTATTGAACATCCGTTTCACATATGATAGCGAATATGTTCCTAATGTCGTAACTACAATCCCGCCCCCTATTCCTGAATGTGACCTACCGTATTAGACTTATTACCGGGTTTGCACTAACATGAACAACACGACGGGTGCCACATGTGGAGCAGAATCTGCTTACCCTTCCGGAGCACCTGGGATCATCTTTAGTTTTCTATGTTGTGTTTTGTTTACTATTGTTTGTCTGTTGGTCTTTTTCGTTTTTAGCCATGGCGTTGTCAGTTTATTTTCGACTTGTGAGTTTGAATGCCCCTTTGGTATCTTTCGCCTCTCTTTTATAATATATAATATCAATATACAATACTAGTACATGAAATAATGATTATATACAGGCTTTCATTGGTTTTCATAACTCTGCCCAGAATTATCTTAACGTATTACATGTTTTTAGTTTGTAAAATATTTTAAATGTATCAAGCAGGGGGGCAGTTTTGATTTCTAATAAAAGAGCAAGGATGACAGAAAAACTTAAAAATTGTAGTTGTAAGAAAATTCTATCATACTTCAATTATTGTGGTGTTAATATTTGCAGAGACATATAAAACATGTATCTCAACAAATGTTTTCTAGTTGCAAAAGATAATTCGATTTTATTTTATTTTTATATGGTACAAAATGAGATATAACATGTAGATGTAAGTCTATTTTGGACAAACACAGTCAGTTCACATACATAAATACACTTTCTGCATATCTGTATATGAGCACATGTATTGTTTAATTTTATTTTTAAGTTTTTATGCAATAAAAGTATATTTAAGATCCTCAAACTCTTTTAAATCAAATACAAAATGAATTATTTTCCTCTCGATATGTCGCAGTACAAATCTGATTTGGGACAAACATTCTTAAATCGAGCACAAAATTCATTTTTAGAGAAATCTTCCCACCAAATGACCCGTAGCACAGATATATGTAAGAGGGTCTGGATGGGTGGTCTAACATTTCTTTATTCTTTTTTTATTTTGACCATTATTCTCCATTCTTTATATTTTAGCACCCCATTATTTTCTACCTTTTTATTGTATCTATGTATCTATCTATGCGGCTTCTTTGTACATACACTAAAATATCGAACATGTTATGCTTTATATAGTGGGAAAATTTCCCCAAAACATTTTCTGCAGTACAAATACATGTAAATGTCTTCTTGGGATAACACAGTTTAATCATAAATAAAATACATGATTTAGTGGGGAAATTTTCATGAAGCAAAAAGAAAAATATAAACATTTGAACAGAAATGTGAAGAAAAAGTCAAACGGAGTGATATTAAACAAACTTGAATTTTCGCTAAAATCTTTCGTAATAAAATTAAGAATGGAAATGGGGAATGTGTCAAAGAGACAATAATCCGACCAAAGAGCAGAAAACAGCCCAAGGCCACCAACAACGAGAAAATCCCACACCCGCAGGCGGGCTTCAGCTGGCCCCTCAACAAAAAGGTGTACTAATTCAGTGAAAATGGACGTCACACTAAACTCCAAAACATATAAATGAACTAAAATTAAAAAACATACAAGACTAACAAAGCCAAGATACACCTGACTTGGGACAGGCGCACACATGCAGCGGGGATAAACATGTTTTGTGGGATCTCAACCCTCCCCCATACCTCTAGACCATGTAGAATAAACAAACACACAGCAATACGCACAGTAAAACTCAATTTAAAAGAATTCCGAGTCCGATGTCAAAATAGGTAACAAAAGAAACTAAGTAAAATGACAATGATACATAAATTAACAAAGGACTAATAGCAGTTACTGATATGCCAGATCCTGACCTCAATTAAACTGATTGAAAGATTATGCTTCATCATATGAAAATCAAGCACAATCCCTCCCGTTAGGGGTTTAGTATCATACCATCATAAAATATATGAGAAGAACATAACCCGTATCATGCCAACAACTGGTTTTAGAATAAATGTGTTATTTCCGATGCATAGACCCTATGAGTGAATCAATATTAATACCAAAATATGCCATCTTTAATGACATGACAACAGCATTGTAACTATATCCCTTCTGAATAAGTCTGTTTAAAGGTTTGGTTAGCTTATGAGGTGAATGCCGACATTTTTGTTCTTTGTATAGAATATTACCATAAAGATTGGATGTGAAATATCTGAACGTATAATATGTCTGCATGTTGATTTATATTTACGAATGATGTCCTTGTACCGATGATAAAAATTAGTAAATGTTTTGACTAGTTTGTGATATCGAAAACCCTGGTGTAATAATTTTTCAGTAATACAGAGATTTCTTTCGTTAAAACCAAGTACGTTGTAACATACACGAGCAAATCTAACAAGTTGATATATATATAAACACCATAATATGGTGACAAGGGAACGTCCCTATCTTAAAATGATAATTAACAATAGGAAATGAAAAATTATCTCTTTTATCGTAAATTTTGGTATTAAGCTTCCCGTTAAAGATATAGATATCAAGATCCAGAAAAGGCAGTGTTCATTGTTGGTATTAGCTTTATTTAAAGTCAGTTCAGCAGGTTCGACATTAGGGCCAACATTATTTAATATCTTTTTAAATGACATTTTCTTTTTTATTCATAAAAGTGAACTTTATAATTATGCAGATGATAACACCCTTTCATACGCAGATAAAGATTTAGATAAATTAATTAATACTCTAGAAGATGAAAGCAAAATTTTGATAAATTGGTTCTCAATAAATAAAATGAAAGCAAATCCAGAAAAATTTCAAGCAATAGCTGTAGGTAAAAAAACTAAAGACAAAAACCTAAAATTTAAATTAGAAGGTAATGAAATAGAATGTGAAGATAACGTTAAACTTCTAGGCGTAACAATAGATTTTAAACTAAATTTCAATGAACATGTCTCTATAATATGTAAAAAAAAGCATCCAAACAGTTAAATGTATTAAAAAGAATAGGAAAACACCTGACTAAACTCGGAAAATTAGCAATATATTATTCTTTCATAATGTCCAACTTTAATTACTGCCCACTAGTTTGGCACTTTTGTGGGGAGGTTAATACAAAAAAGATAGAGAAAATTCAAGAGAGAGCACTAAGGTTTATCTATGAAGACTATTCAGCAAGTTATGAAGATCTACTCTGCAAATCAAAATTACCATCTTTAAAAATAAGAAGAATGCGATCATTGGCTATTGAAGTTTTCAAAATTATTAATAAAGATTGTCCTGTTTATCTCCATGATTTAATACACTTAAAGTAAAACACTTACTCTTTCAGATACCAGAATACAGCCGACCTACCACATGTAAGAACAACTGCATTGGGCCTATAATCTTTAAGGTATGCAGGTGCTCAGCTTTGGAATGAGCTGCCAGATGTGCTACGTAAGCAATCATCTTTAAATCAATTCAAGAACTTGATAAATTCTTGGTCTGGCAGCTCATGCCATTGTATTGCCTGCAAAACCAGTTAATTTCTGTTCATTATTTTTGGTTTAATGCTTTATTATCAGCATGGCAATTTTATTTTATTATCTTTACTATAGTGCTTCTGCTGCTTTGTGCTAGTTTTAGTAACTAACTAATCTATATGTGCTTTTAATGTGCAAACCATTTTATTTTTGCGTTTGTGCTTTTATCGCACAAGTGCATGTTTCAGTGTGTGTTTAACTTGTAAGATGCTTTTAAGAACTTTTGTGCTGCATGTTTATATACTGATATGAACTCTTGCTTTATATGTTTAATTTATGTGTGCATGACTTGATATGTATGTTTTGTTTTATTTGTTGCTCTGTCGGTTTTAAAAGCTCTTCAGAGCTTATGTTTTATACTTGTATTTGCACATACCGACTCTAAATAAAGCTTTATGTCTTATGTCTTATGTCTAGGTTAAAATCTCGTTAGTGTACATATTGAAGTCGTCATTATTGAGAGCCAATATATCATCCAAATATCTAAAAGGGTTATTGAATTTTTGTACCAGATGTTGTTTCGATGGGTTTTTACTGATTTTAGTGCTAAATTGTAACTCATAACAATACACAAACAGGTCCGCAATAAGTGTTATTATATTTTTGTATCAGATGTTGTTTCGATGGGTGTTTGCTGATTTTAGTCATAAATTGTAACTCATAACAATAACATAACAATAAGTGGTGCACAGTTAGTCCCCATTGGAATTCCGATTACTTGACGAAATCGGAATCCCCATAGCGAACAAAAATGTTATCTAGTAAAACTTCAAGGGCAGTTTCGTATCAAAGCAGGTCCAATTGACATTGTTCTTTTGTGTGTTGTTACTAAAAAATAACCTAAAAGAGTTTTAACATATATATTCGCTTTCTAACTTTTTGAATGCCCATTTAATTAGGTGTGTGATTTTTTTCTTAATGAGATTATGAGGCAAAGTGGTACATAGGGTAGAATTATCAAAACTTTGAACAGATTCGAAATCACCAATATAAGCATGCAATTTATCAAGTTCTTCCAACGAATGTTTGAAACTCCAAAAGTAATTAATTCCACTATTTTCCAAGGCCTTATTTGAACAATTTATTACCAGGTTTTCTATTGTACCAAGTGTACTAGTAAGTTGAATAGACAGTTTAGTAGTGGAAAAATGGCTTTAAGACGAAATAAATCTATATTTGTAAGGTGTTTTGTGCAGCTTCGGAAGCCAGTACATAGTTGGAACTTTCCTTGTATTTGGTTCTGCTTGTATAGAGGTAGCTAAAAGTTTATGTTTGTTACAGATGTCATTTTCCGAAAATGGAGTGAGTTGAAATGTTGGTTAATTCATGATTTCCTTTTG